CCCCAAAACCCCAAAACCCCAAAACCCCAAAACCCCATTTGGAATTGACAATATTGAAGTTACTATTTATTTCAGATTGTGTGGACGTCGGAGCTTAATCTTGTTAGAAGGGTGAAGACTACTGATCCGTTGATTCGTGCTCTTGTATCTAGCCTGTGGATCTTTATAATTCATTCTATAATAACTACTATGGCATACCCTTTCTTCATATTCTTTGAGTACATTTTTAAATTGCCTACTCTATTAGGCTTGACGAACAAGTCTGGAAGAATACTGCGATTGCCTATTATTTAAAGCATTAACTTACTCTTCATCAGACTTTTGGGATCGTTAAGTGTGATCTTATTAGGCATCCTGATAGGCCTCTCTACACCATTTATCTTCAATTTACCTTGATTTTTAGCCTTCTTCGCGTTCTTAGGAAATTATCGAATAATCGTACTCCTTCTGGTGGAGGCTGTACAAATAATTCGAGGAAGGCTTTCCAAGCCGTCTATTCAGGTTATACTCAATAGAGTTATTCTTTATCTTGAACACGGTATTTTTACGCTTTCCAATAGGAGCAACATCCTTTAAGAGAGCAGATCTGTTATTATCATACACTTTTGGCTCTATTTTTACAGTTTCAGGCAAGGAATGAAAATGGGTTATTACCGATAGAATTATTATAATCAGACAGCTGTGATGCTATCCGTTCTGCGCTGCTTAGTTTGTTCACCAAAATTGGGCTTCTGTCCCTGCTAGAAAGTCAAATCAGTGAAATTACTTCTTCAAGCTCTCTATTGAAGGCGAATGGTTCATATTTCTACAATCATAGGTCGACTTAACGGACTCATTATGTACTGACTTTGTATATGAAAGGGAGTTTTTAGACAAGTTATTTTATCCGGGACCTTGATACACCCCTCAGATCATAGATATTCTTAGACAGTGCTGAAGGGCCTTGGCTCCGCTCTATGTCAACTAATTTTCCCATCTTCTTGCGGTTTTTAGAATGATGCCCTGCTATCCTTTCTCTGTTGATTATTTCAGCCTTAGTAGTTTTGGGGATTATTTCTATAGTTTTGCCTTCAGTCTCATGATTGGAGTAATCAGATAATTTGCTGAGAGCTGCATCCTTCTTGAGAATATCTGGTAGCACCAGGTCCTTAGCAAGAGCCTTCATTCGCTTACTTGGAGAAAGTCTTGCCTTTTCAACTCCCTTAATCTTGAAAGGCTTTTTGATGCTCTCATGTTTCTGTGATGATGCCTTGGAAGTCTCATATTGTGACTTAGGTAAGTTGTCTGTTAAAAACATCAGGTTTTTGGGAACATAGATGGTTTGAAGTAAAATATTTTGGTCGTTCTGATCCTCTTCCTCCTCAGTTTGGATATATTTCCCTTTATCTCTAAGAGCAATAGGTTCAAATTCTAAAATTTCTTTTCAAGTAGGTCTATTTTTAGGCTTCAGTTGTATCAAAGCCTCTATCACATTATGCAAATCTTCAGAATATTTGTTTGAAATTCTTGGATAGACACCTTTCAATACAACTTTGTACAAGGATTGCATGTCCTCAGCCCTAAAAGGAGGCTTCAAAGTAGCTGCTTCATACAAGACTCATCCAAGAGACCAGATATCACTTTTGATATCATATGGTTTATCCTTCCAGACCTCAGGACTGGCATAGTAAGGAGTACCTGTCTGTGTATATCCAAGGCCTGATTTCATGATTTTACTCACATTAAGATCGCCTAATTTCGCAGTGCCATCTTTGTACAAGAATACGTTGGCACTCTTCAGGTCTCTATGCATAATTTTCATATCATGAAGAGCTTTTAGAGGCCCTTAACCACCTGAATGAAGACGTCAAATATAAAACTTTCTTTGAAAAGTTTTCCTTCCTCCTGATTTTTAACTATTTTCATGAAGAGGTCGCCATCGTCAGCGTACTCCATCACAATTCAGAGACTTGAACTAGCTTCGTCGATGAAGGCTTCTTTATATGAAATTATATGGGGATGGCTGATCGATGCAAGAATTCTGACTTCATTCAGTGAGTTCTCCTTCTCCTTCGCTGAAAGTCCAGACATTTTGATCTTTTTAAGGGCATACACAAGATTGTCTGACTTGCGAACGATCTTGTAAACGTTACTGTAGGAGCCAACTCCGAGCTTCTTGAGGACTTTAAAGTCATCGAGTGACATTTTTGGTAATATTTATTGTACAAACCCACATTCATGGGGTTTTGGGGTTTTGGGGTTTTGGGGG